TCTGAGGTATGTCAGCTGTGGCCATGTTTCTTATAAGTCTGTTATTATGTCCATTTAAATTTGTGTAAAATCGTTGATATAGGGTCGTTATATGTTCGTCAACTGTTGGAAAGTGGAGGTCAGTATGTAGAGTTTTGTTAGTCACGTACCAAGGTGCTTTTGTTATGAGTCGCAATAATTTTGATTGGAACGTTTGAAGTTTTTGTAGGTGGGTCTTTTTAGCGATGCCGTATATTTGTGATGAGTATGTCCATATGGGCTTAAGTAAGTATGTATATGTATTCAGTTTCTGTTTTAGTTTTAGTTTTGAAGATTTGGCAAAAAGAGAGTAAAGTAGTTTGAGTCGTTTGTTAAGTGTCATACGCTTCATTTTAACATGTGGGCTCCATGTCATCCTTCTGCCGAAAGTGAGTCCAAGGTAAAGTACCGTGTCCGTTTGAGGATTTTGATTGTTGTCAATATAAACTGGAGGACAGGTGTTTTTTCGAAGAGTAAATGTCATATGTTTGGATTTGTCATGATTAAGTCGAATTTTCCATAGTGTGAACCAATCTTGTAGTTTAAGCAAATGATGTAGTAGAGTTCGTGAGGCCTGTGTAGGGTCTTGATGTTTTGTGAGGATTGTTGTATCGTGTGCATATGTAGCTGTCAAGATCTCAGATAGGTATATCGTAAGTGTATATAACGTAAAGTAGAGGGGCTAGTATTGAACCTTGGGGAACTCCGGCTAAGATTGGACGGACTGAAGACACTTCCGAGCCCTGCCGAACTGAAAAAAATCTGTCGAAGAGGAAAGATTGAAGGATAAGATAGTACATGTATGGAAGTATAGTCTTAAGTTTAAAGAGAAGACCCTGGTGCCAGACTCTATCAAACGGCTGAGCAACATCCAAAAATACTCCAGTTGCATATAGTTTATGTTCTAAAGCTCCAGCATTAAATTAAAAAATGAATTAAAAATTTACAAAAAAATTTCACACATTCAAGCATAATACGAGATCGAAATTTAAACTCTTAACTGATTAGAGGATTTATTTTAGCTTCGATAAAGCTTTATATTTCAAAGTGTATTTAAACGTTAAAAGTAATTCTGACATATATTATGTTTTTTTAACCCACAAATATTTAGTGGATTTTACGATACTAAAAATTTAAATAATTTTATAACAAATATTTTTTTTTATTTTCATCAGATTCCTTTAGATATTGTAGAAAATGATAACATCTAAAGACTTTATTTTTAAAAAATATTATGTTATTATTATGTAATAATACTATTGACATTGGGCTTAGAGAAATGATTGGTTACGCTAATCACAATAGCGAACAAATAAATAAATAATATGAGGAAATATCTTGGACAATCAATAGACATATCGACTTGTTTATGCAGATAATTCTAAAAAATGTTTTAATTGTCGACTTATAAATAATATAACTAAAAGTTTTACAATTTATGATGTTCTACGAGTTACGATTTTATTTAGAGAAGGGATTGTGTCATTTTAAAGTATTTATTATGTTATATTTTTGAATCTATAAATAAAGTTCAAATTCATAAACATGTACTCCAGTGTTATACTCGATCAAAAATGTGCTAAGTAATTTTTTCAAATAAACCGAAGATATATTATTAGCCTCTGTGTTTACTGTTTTGATATTCAATGCATCTGAGGATTTTCCTCTACTTGCTATAATATTTTTTTTAATTTATTTATTTACAAATATAACAATCAGTCACGTGAACAATAATTATAGTGAAATATGATATAACACATTCATACCATATATACAGAAAATACTTGCTATAATTAGATAACAAAAATAATTAGATCCCGAGTTTTCTAATAACTGCATAATATTATGCGTTAATATCACTAAATACCAGAAGTCCCCAATATTTTGGACCATGGGCCACATTAAGAACACTAAATCCCGCTAGGTGTTTTTTTTTTTCATTTTAGTCAAAATATGTTTATATAAAATAAACTAATTATTATGCATTTCCTTGTTCATTTCATTGGGAGACATTGCCAGATAGCAGCTGCTGTAGAGATGTATGAAACATTGAAGATAATGAATTTTTCTCTACTGCTAATTAGCTTCAATTAATAACACTATGAATGAAGTTAGTTTTAATACAATATTTGATTATCATCAAATTGTTAGGTGCATGCGCAATGCGCTTTTTCCTTTACAGGCGCATGCAGAGAACAGGTTTTGGAATGGAAAAACCGTACTGCACTCGCCCCTGACATTATTATAACAGAAAAACTCGTGTAGCAACAGAACTATTAATTCAATTGCAGCGATTTGAAAGAATAATTATCTTACAAATAGCTCGTTTTCCTGCAGTGATGCAAACAATTTTTTTTTTGTTTTGTTTTTTTAATATCAAGGATTGTATAAATTTATTATTCAGAAGAATTGGAAATGTAATGATTTAAGTTTGATAATTTAATTCAATCATTTAATCAACAGTTAGTATTCAAAGTTATTTATTTAGTAATCATTGATATTTATAATTTAATACAATGCCTTTCAATAATTCAATTCACTCTCTCATTCCTTCTAAAAACCACTAAATTAATAGTAATTATAAAAAAAAAATTATATATTATAATTGAGCCATGATTTGCTAAGGATCTGTTATAGTATGATTTTAATTGTTACACCCTAATTTTTATGAGTGTTTCATAATTTATCATAACTGGGAGATCTATCTCACGGATAAACATTCCGTATTTACAATTCAATTTGTAAACAATAAATCCCACAAGCAGAAAGATTAAAGTTCTTATTTTAGAAAGTTCTTATTTCTAAGCGCTAATTAGTCCACCAGACAAATCATCATTAAAAAATAACTAATTACATAATGAATTTTAACCAAGTAATGATTTGAAACAAATTCATTAATAAAACATCGCGTAGAGTGCTAATATTACTATTATTATGTATAGGCGTAAAACATCCAGGTCATCAATGCCTGCAAATTAATTTTGTAAAATCTGGATTAAATTTTTAAGAGATTTTATATATTTTTGAACAAATCGTTTGATTTCAAGGAACCCAACACTAACTTTATTGCGTCTTTTTCATCCCTCAAAATGTTTGCTATCGGAGGTGTAAGTCCTGAACTATTCAGACTCGATACGTAAAAAGGACACTCCCATAAAATGTGGCTGGCTGTAAGTGTATTATTGCAGTGTTGACATTATGGTGGTGGCTGTTTCCTAACAAGATGTGAATGGGTAAGATTTGTGTGGCCTATTCTCAGTCTGGTAAAGACAGCCTCTTCTCTGCGGATATAACGATACTATTATTGTGTTTTTTTTATTCTTATCTGCAAATAACACATGGTAATGGTATTGCTGCATTAAAATCTAAAACAATGCCGTATAAGATAAATAAAGAAAATGAAAATAAAACAATCCATAATAAAAATAAAGTTCACCAAATCATTTAGCCATTTAAACCCAAAAGCTTCTCAAAACTAAAACAGATAATTCTGAAAACAAATTGGAACGAATAAAAGTGAAACTCACAACTATATTATAGATACTGTATTTTTTTCTGTAGAGAAACAATCATAATATCTATCCGCATTAAATTAGGCTGTTCTGATTTCATAAGTTAATTAATCCATTATAAGAAATAAGTAATTGTGGCATAAATTATTATAATGTAAAGTCATTAATTAGAAAGGAATAAATTAATAAAGCGTTGCCTAATTAACTTTTATTGTTATATTAATTGTTGTGGCATTTATTGACATGTAATTATTTGTTAGATGTATTAATTGAACCTATGAAAAGGTTATATATCGAGAAATAAATCGAGTAGATTACTATATGTATATATGCATGGATTCGTAAATTGTCCATTTTAATCCAAGACAATAAAACACATCTATTTTATCATTTAATACATATTAAATGATAAAATTGTATAACTTTTAATTTTCTTATCCATCCACCTATTATTTTATCGGTTTAATGTTTTTATTTATTAATGTACTTATGTTTTTTTTTTTTAAATATAGAATACTTATATTATGATTAAGGATAATTATTCAAACGTTATTTGTACATTGGTACACATTGTTGATGATATAATGATTATGTAGATATTATTATTGTTTAATTTTTAGCATAATGTATGATTAAGTTTACTACGGGTTATCTATAAAAAAATTTATATATCTAGTCATATTTTTTTTCGGTATTTTTTATAAAGCGGTTTATTTTATTGATTTTTTTTTCTGATATAATAAAAATATTTATCATCAGCTACGCATATATTTAAAATTTATCATAATCATTTGAAAATTATAATAATAATAATAAATAAATAAAAAAGGAATAAAAATACTAGATGTAATTTGGAAAAGACGTGAGAAAATTTAAATCCAGGTATTATTGAATTATCATCACGGTTCAGTGTAGTGACTATTTATTCATTTTTTTTTTAATTCTAAATATTTAACCGTCCTTTCTTCCATGTCATGTTCGTCCAACTGTCCGTCCATATTGACATGTCATTATTTTCCAAAATAGTGATCCCGTATGTTGATTTTCAACAATTGACAACAGTTGACAGGTGCACATTTATGTTAAAGGACAAAAAAAAAATAGAGAAGATATTTAAATATTATATTTTCTAACATTTTAGTTTAAAAAAATAATTTATACTTAAGGACATTCATTGATCACCCGATTCATCACTGGTGAAATAAAGTTCAAATTAAGAATAATACGAAACAAGTTTAAAAGCGCTCTTAACCAGAATCTAGAAATAGAAGAGTATGAGCTCCTCCTAGAAGAGTAAGAAATTGACTAAGTCACTATAAATCACTATAAACTAAATCAAATCAAGCTAAAGTTCTTTTTCTTTTTTCTATAACATGAAATTGGAGCTTGCAGTCTTCTAAATTGTTAAAAATTGTGACTTAAGAAAGGTTACCTCAAAGGTGCTGATGTATATGTATATATGTTGCTTACCTGTTGCACTAAGTAGATACGAAAGAGAGGTGTAGCAGAGAAGGGAGTAAGGTGCCGCTTTAAGCTGAGAATAAAGACTGAAGCTGTTAGCGGCGAGTTCTTAGTCCTTCCAGTTCAATGTCACTTCCTGCCTTTCTAGCCCCTCCGCCTCTTCCTATTCGCTGGGTGGTTTTATATATATATATATATATATATATATATATATATATATATATATATATATATATATATATATATATATATATATATATATAATTATATTCAAAAGAACAACATACATATTGCACTATTATATGTGTCTCTAAAGCTATTATAGGGAAAGGATTTCTTTTTTCATTATAGCATAAAGAATGGGATATTTTATTTCAGAAATAGCAATCAAGCAAATGAAAATACTCTTACTACAGAACATAGGTACCCACAATAAATTAATATAAAAGTTATAATTATTAATTAACCTTGCTGAAAAAATTGAAGCGTTCGGATAATTGAAATTATTTGTATGAAAACGCAAATATATTAGGACTAGGAACATTTAGCTGGTCACCTAATATAATAAGGACCAATTACTTTAATGGAAATTATGATTAACAAAAAACATCGTTATCATTTTATATGATAAAGATTTGAAAAAAGGCGTATTAAAAAAAAATTAAATAAAAAGTTAATATGCTAATTAGGTTTTATACAATAAATTTAAGATAAAAGGAAAAAAGAAATTAAAGCTTTGTATTAATTTATTGAAGCAATTTCTTTTTGATAACGAAATTACTCTTAATATTATTTTTTTACTAGAGGTAAAATTCAATCAGGACCGGTCTGGTCATTAGTGCTGCCCAAAATCGGTCTTGGTATTGCACTTTGCGAGGCCGCCTAACTGTTGCAAGACGAAAACCAGGACTAGCAAAATAAAATCGATTTTTTAAATTAAAATTAAGGCAAAATAGTTACTAATACTTGTCAATTTTAGTTACTATATATAAAGAATTGGTATAACCAATATACTTTTACATTTAACTCCTCTAATTTTTCATTCGGGCTTAGTTTGGTTTCTCCTATCTAAAAAATTACAGTAATATCTCAATAGTAATAAGCTAATAAGTAACTGCAAGACTGTTGGGAGACTCTTGCGCTAAAAACAAGACCATGATTAAGACTGAGTTGGCAAGACCAAGACTCGTCTCGGTCTCGCATTTGGGCAACACTACTGGCCAGGTCGATTGCCGAGGGCCCCCGAGCCAAGGAGGAAGGGGTTACAGAGAGAGCTCTAAAACAATGTTTCATATTTTTCAGTATCCCAAAATAATTGTTTTATATTCGTTTATTTATACAATTTTTATATTCCAATATCAAGGTTTTGTGCCTTTGTATGGCAGTGGAATGACTGGGGACCATCTATGAGTGCCCCGAATACCTTTATTTGTTGTTTGTATAGTCCGTTGTATGTTTGGCCTTGATTATAATTGTTTTTTATTCGTTTATCTTCGCAAATTTTTAGTGGCCACAACATTTTGTTTTGTATTTTTTTATGGCCGTAGAATGATGGTGGCCCTTCCTGTGGGCATCATTTCTTATTTATTTAGTACCGTGATACGTTATGCTCCTGAAAATAATTGAATACACACACACACAAACACACACACACACACACACATATATATATATATATATATATATATATATATATATATATATATATATTCAATATATCTGAACAATATATATATATATATATATATATATATATATATATATATATATATATATATTAGACCACAGGTCGTGGATTCCAAAGACCTCAACTTAATTAAGATGGACTAAAATCTCAATTAATAAGGTAGTGTTTCTAAAAGTGGAGTATCCGTTGCAAATTTAGAGAGTCATAGACTGAATAAAACATTGGGGATAATTAACCATTTAATGAAAAACTGAACTTGGTATAGTTTATCTAGTCCTCTTTGAATAGTATTAACAAAGACAAACTCAACTTGCATTAAAGTAAATTGTTAAACAACAAAGTGATTGTTAGTTAATTGATAATAAATTAAAAAAAATTTTTTTCTGTTATCGCTTCCTATTCAAGAAAAACGGTGATGCTTAAAAAAACGTGCCACTTAATTAAACTTACTTTTTTTTCCAGAAAATCAGGCCATAGTTCATATAAGACTTTTTTTAGCACCTAATGTCTACTACAGCCTCTTTCGTTATGTCGCTTTTCTTACTGGACACCCTGTTCATAATATAATGTGTAGAATTATATTTAAATAAGCAGCATGCGTATAGCCTTATTATAAATGTCTCTGATGCCATTCGAAGGGTATTTAATAATTCTATAAACAGTTTTTCATTATTTTCGTGTTCATTAATTGTAATTAATTTATATGTTAATCATTGGTTGAGTTCAATTTATGTGATAACGAATACATTTTTTAAATTATTTCAATTGAAGAATAATCTTTATCTATGTGCCTATTTATTGTAAATAAAAAGACAGGACATTATCTGCCCTGAAGTGGGACACTTCTGTTTGTTGGGTGTGAGTGGGAAGGGGCAGGGGTAATTTAAAATAGATATATTCAGTGACCTTTTTGTGTTATTTTTTTTAACGCTGTTCCGATTTACATATATTATGTATTTTCTTTGTTACCGGTACGCTATATATAAATTAATGAAATCCTGTCGAATTTCCGATGCCCCATTTTTAAAGGATCTACGCGTTTCTGAGCACATAAATGTGCAAATAAATAAACAATGTGTTTATACCATGGGTATGTCTGATCAGACTTATTTTTCTTAATTTTTTTGTTCAGATTTTTTTGCACTTTATGCAAGTGTGGGAAGTAGGGGAGGGGCTGAAAAACGATTGTAGCACAAAAGTCACTCAAATGGGTTTGACTAAATTTGTTTAAAGCACTTTAAAGTGTATCATATTATCTAATGGTGTTAAGAAATATAACTTCCTTTGTTTCCGGTGTATTTACTTTATTTGTCTCATCACACTACGTGTTGACGTTTTGGTATATATTTTCCCATCGTCTGAAGAATTACCTAGAGATTTGTCAGTCTCTTCCCTGTAATTTAAGGACCAATTATTGTTATCCTAATTATAACATACTATAATTTATATGTTTTTTGGTGTAATCCATTTGTCATAATTGTAGTTTTTACATTTTTCAATTTAACACTATCAGGAGCAACATGTTTGCCAACCACATCAGTATAATCTAAAACTCCCCAACAAAATAAATAAAAAGAAGAAACTTTTATTATGTAAATTTATGTTATATAATATATCTAAATGAACTTGGAAATGCGAGACAAACATCTAAGAAATTGGCACTATCTATGCAATATCCGGAATAGACTTATAATATGTGTGTTATATCCGTTTTCAAGGCATATCTTAAAATATAAATTTTATTAAATCCTTGCTTTTTCATCACTGAGACTATATCATCTGTTGATTTGCGAAAATGAAAAAAGTATTCCTTGAAATTTTGTTTCCGTTATTTATTTATCACTTAATCAGAAAACTGTCCCTTTCCCTTTTCGCAAACAGCTACCTTGTTCATTTGAGGTCGGTTGACCTTGACCTATATAATAACTTATAAATTTCAGCTGAAATACAAAAAGGAAATGTAAGAGTTGCGAATCCCAAGTCTGTGGTCAGAAGTGCATCGATGACCGAAACGGGTTTTAGAGCAGCTAACGAACGAGTTTAGTTTACTGATAATATATTTTAATATTTAGGGTTTTATTTTAATTGTTTGGGTATTTTGGTGATTATGTACTCTTAGAAGTAGTTGCAGAAATTACAAAACTAAACACAACCTTGACGAAATTCGTTAAATATCTGTCTCGAAATAATACGGATCTTTGGGCAGAAGTTCTCTAAGATTTACTACATTGTTTAAAATTTTTGAGCGCATCTTGGTTTATTATTTTCATAATACTTTGTTTTTTGTCCTCTCCTTCCTTGCCTCCTAAGCTATAAGGGGTTTTATTCGGCCTGGGGTAAGAGAGGGGAATCAATGGCAGAGTTCAAAGCACTTGGCACTGGGATGCGAACTCGTAATTATTTTTATCCAAATTATCTTCCATCAGATTGCCGGGAAACGCGGTGAAGTGCACACGCGTTATACCGCTCGGCCACCCCTCCCCCAATCCACGTGCCAAATATCTGTCGAGAGTATTTCACATTGACAAAACCAGGTGTGTGCATTTCCCCAGGTTCAATAGAGCATGAACGGATGAGGTTTATATGGTGCATGGTATAAAGGTAGATTGTTTGGTTTCATTATTAGTGAGGAAAATAAAAAAATACTAAGAAAGTAAAGTAGTTGAGAAGTTAAGACACTTTCAATATACTAATGACAAGACTAGCAGAGGTAGGACCTTTCGGGTCAAAGCCACCCCTCCTCAAAAAAGCAAAAGATACGTGTATTTTTAGCTGGTACATTTTTGTTTCTATGATTCAAACGATCTAAATACTTACATACTAAGAAAAATGGGTAAACATTTGAACTGTAAAAACATTATTGTTCTTGTAACCAGCAGGATTAAAAAGAAAAAAACGTAATCCTCCAACATCAAATCCCGAATCCGCTGCTGAACGAGAGGAAGATTGTTTATATAATATTAATTATTCCTTTTTAAGATTAAGAAAAAAGTAATTAAATCATACAAGAAATAAAATGGAGATCAGTGAAAGTAAAAATAAAAAATAAGAATAAAATAAATAAATATTTTTAAAAATACATTATGGAGTTAGAAATAGACTCGAATAGATATCTGTATCCTTCAAAAAAATTATAACCTTTTTTTTTAATATACCTTTTTTCTTTCTGTCTGATCGAGGTTGTTGCTCTCAAATCTCAAAAATGGATTCTGGATTAGGGTCGCCTCTTCATCTTAATACTTTAATTAAAGTTCCATATCTAAATCTCTCTAAAATGTTTTCAACATAAGTAGTTCAAGATATGATACCTAAAGATACATCCGATTCTTTCTAGAATGGAGGAAATATTAGGTGTGTTACATAATATTATTTTATTTCCAAAAGGA